ACCACACAATACATGCTTTAAATCCACAACTACTATAGGATAACAATGTCAAATCTTCAGAGCGCAATTCGTTATGCGCTATAATAACATCACATGTCGAATCTTCAGTGTGCGATTCGTTACACGCTATCACAATATATTTCAACATTGAAACATAAACTCATGCATCCATTAAAAGTCTAAAATCATGTTTCAAACATATTATCAATGTCAAATACATGATTTAATCAATAATGCAATAGAAACGAAAATTGATCAAATAACTAATTAATTTCCCTACGTTTCAAATCTCAATCAAATGGTCCCTAATTAATACATGTTATACAATATAACTTGATCACTACATATATCAATTCAAAAACTTGATTAGGCCATTTGAACAACAAAATGGAATTCAATTAAATCATAGTAATCAAACCCCAAAATTCTAAAACAACGTCAAATGGTCCCAAATTAACATATGCTAGTATACAAGTCCTAGTCATTATAAATATCAAGTTAAAAACTTAATTAGGCCACTGGAATCATTAAATAAATTTTAATTAATCATTTTAACTAAAATCTTTAGATTTTCGTACTTATCCAAATGCTCTATGTTAAAGAACATGCAAAGACTTAATTTAAAAGCATATCACAAGTTCATTTCATGCAAGGTACGACCATGAGAATTAATCTTTCACAAAAGAAAAATATTAAATAAAAAGTGCAATTCTTATTCAAATAATCCCAATTTAATATATGTTAACAAACATATTAAAGCCTAATTTATCATCATGCCACAATTCAAATCTAAACTATATACATCTTTGTAATTTAAATCTCATACAAAGAAATAAATATTACTAACTTTCTAGATTTGATACAAGGCATGCAACCAAGTGTATAATCATGGGAAACACTCAATACAACACATACATAATCCTAAAACATCCCCTACCTCAATTTAAGATGAAAATCTCAAAAGCCACCAAAATGAAACGGCTTCGAATCTGACGATACTTTAGGGTTTTGTCGGGGACAACGCCGTGAACATTAAACTCCAAAGAGGACCTACCAAAATCCTAACTTGGCGTCAAACCCGAATTCAAAAATTGGCCAAAAACGGGTTCTAATAAGGGTGAAAGATACACGTCGTCAAGACGAGCAATAAACATAAAAGGCATGACGATGTTTTAACAAAAGGAAGAAGTTCAAAAGAGGAGAGAGGTGGTGGCAGCCCATGGCTGCCATTGAATCTAGCCAAGAGAGAGGAGAGAGAAAGAGAGAGAAAAATTTGGTTTTTTAACTTTAAGTCTCCTATTTATAGAAAATCTCAAAAAGTGCCCCGGACGGCCCCCGCCGGGTCCGGAAAAGTGGAATTTGAGCATGTGCACTCAAACAGTGAAACTCCATGAACAAAAAAATTTAAAATAAGAAAATATAAACAACGGAAGAAATGGCATCGAAAACTGAGTCCCGAGCAGAAAGTTATGCCCCAAACAAGCTGTGGCTAAAAACCCTAAAACTGGGAAATATCGACCAGGAGGAAATTCTAAAAGTACGTGACTTGACGAAAAGTGAAAATGAATTCCATACGAGGATCCAGGCTCGAAACAAGGCATTTAGCAATAACTTTCATTAATTGCACAATGACCCCTCCAAAAAGTGAAAACTGCACCACTGGCTCAGAATTAAAATATTTTTCAAAAAAATATTTTCTTAAAAACCCCTAAACTAAAGTATCTTCAAAAGATATTTATGAAAAACACCTTAAGAAAAGAAAAAGTTTCCAAAGAACTATACATCCATGCCCCTATGGACACTAGGAGCAACCAGAGTACTTTACTATAAAAGTAAAGATACGTATTTCGTGGAAACCATTTAGAATGAAGATATGTGAAGTCAAAAACCAACTCCAAACACAAGAAGTGAGGTTATGCAACAAGGTAGCACACGGGGAAAAGACAAAATAGGGAAAATGACGAAATAGGGAAAAGGACGAAAGTGAATAGTATCGAAAAATGAAAAATGTGGAATTGACTCGGTCCTCAAAGAAAGTTGTCAATCTAAAGAAAAGAGTCTCAAAAATCACTCCAGAGCACTCGAGACAACACTAAGTGATGAGAAACTGAACTTAGAAAGGCAAAGATCAACGGAAAAAAAATATCCGTCAAAATCTGAGAAAAGGGAAAGGAAGGAAAAAGACCGGGTCATTACAAAAACCCATACATACAAGTTAGCAGTTGCAGAGAGAAAAGGGGGCAAGCTTAAGAGTTGAGAGATAGCGGGCCAGCGGCTGAAGCTTGAGAGTTGAGAGACAGCGGCTGAAACTAGCGACAGCGAACCCGTACTGGGGCAATGGGCGATGGACAGTGAAAGATATGGGTTTCGATTTTTTGAACAATCCCAAATGATATGCCGATATGGGGGTTTTGATATAGGTAATAGGTTTTGAACTTTTGATTCAGATACATAAACTTAAATATATGGGTTTTGAACTTCTGATTATTGTAGATTTTGTAGTTTGCAGTTGCAGAGAGAGAGAGAGAGGACAAGTTCAGAGTTGAGAACGAGAATGGAGATAGATGGAGGCGATTGGGGAGGCCTAAAATGATATGCCCTAAAAAGCAGCTTTCGTCAAAAAGCGGGTTTGGTACTAGTCATAAAACAGGGTTAGTACTAGAGTTGTAGGATTTTGTTGATTTGATTTTGATACGATGACAATGATATTCCAACTTTGAATAATTTATTATCAAAATAAAGGCTTAAATCATAAAACTTCAATTACCATCATTTTTGTATAGTAAAACTATAACTTATTTGTACTATAAAGTTATTTTTTTGCTCTAATTCTATTAATGAACCGTTAAGAATTTATTAAATGTTTAAATTATTATATGTTAAAAAATAAAAGACTAGAACTATTAGAGTGTTTACAAAGGTTTTATAATTAAAAAATGATAGTATTAAAAGCATCTTTAGTTATTTAAACTACTGTATTTTTTTACTCTTTAGTTATTTAAAAATAAAAAACTGTTATTAAAATACTAAAATAAGCTCAGTGGTCTAATGATATTTCATCAACCTCTAAAATTAGATGGTAAAGATTGAAGTCCCAATATGGGAAAATGGATACTCTTTTAAAAGCATCTCCAATGGGCTCTCCAAATTTGCCACATCAGCTTTTTTCAATAGTCACGTCAGTATTTTTCATAGCCACGTCAACGTTTTGGAGTTTCCAAATTTTAGCTATCAGATGTACTCCAATGGTACATTTTCGCTCTCCAAAAATATTAATATTTTAATATTTTTAAAATCTTTAATAAATTTTATTTTTTAACTTTTTCCTAACGGCTATATTTTTAAAACGGATATATCATACAAAATATTTAAACAATACAATATTTATTATTAAAAATAATACGATACAACATAAATTTAAACAATACAAATTTAAACAATACAATAAAAATAAAAAAATAATACAATATGACATGGAATTAAAAACATAACAACTATATATTAGCATATAGATGCTAATATTTCATTTTGGCATTCAATTAGCCATGCATTCCCCGCTTGTGTTGGCATCAATTCTGGATCTTTTTGCATGATTAACATCTCTTCAGCTCCTTATTTGTTTTCAATCTCTCTTAGTTTGCTTTGAAGCTCGAGTTGTCTGGTCTTTTCTTTATCTACTTTGCGTGCCTCTCGTGCTATTTGAGCGGCCTCAAGAGTTTCAGATTGTCTTTGATAAAGGGCTGCTGCATGATTGAATTTGCTAATGAAATCATTCTGACTTTCAGATTGTCTTTTATCTTTATTTCGCCTCTGCATCGCTGCTTTTCGTCCTTCTGGTTGCTGACATTCTTTAACATCTGTCGGATCATTTTCGCCTATGTGTGTCGATCCTTCAACCAAACTTGGTGTCGTTGCTGCATTACTTGATGGAGTATATGGGTTTGAATGACCAATAGGCTCACTATCATCAATGTGGATTCCACTCCTCTTCTTCGATTGTTTTTTTTTTTTTTTTGGATGTCAATTCTTTTTGACAATGTAAATGCCACTTATTGTTGCTCTTAAAAATGTTCCAACAACTGTCAAACTTAATTTTGGTGTTATTTTGACGAGCAAACAACTTTTTGGCTGCTATCATCTAAAAAATAAAAATCAATAATTATTAGAAGACAAATCTTTAAAATATCTACCAATTAAATTTAATATAATAAATAACTTACCTTGTACGCATTGTCTTGCCAACTGGGGTAATTCTTTTCAATTTGGGTCATGCATCCAGAAAATTTGGTAATCATTTGTTGCATGAAGGAACAACGATTTAAGCAGGCGATATGATTTCTTTTAGATGTACCAGCATCACTAATGTGTTGCTCAAAACTTTCTTAAATTCAAATCCATAACGCTATCTTTTGTTGGTCTGAACCGATGACCGCATCAGTGCTAATGGCCATCCACGCATAACATAAAGCTTCATCTTCAACCGTGGACTAATTAGGAGGCCGTAGCCCTTTGCTTTCTGGGAGGTTGGTAGTTACTGGATTGTGGCACTTCAGTAGGAATGTTGGAAACTTGAAAAGGTTAATGAGATGAAAATTGAGATTATTCTCCCACAAATTGAGATTCATCTCCAACAAATAAGAAGGGATCAAAATTATCATTTGATTAGTTAAATTGGGAGTTGTACACTACACCATATTAGGGTTTTACCAGTGTTCTTTAAAAGAGCGCTGGTATAGGTGTAATCGTACCAGCGCTTTTTTAAAAAGCGCTGGTATAGGTGTAATGGTACCAGCTTTTTTTTAAAGAGCACTGGTATAGGTGCAATCATACCAGCGCTCTTTTAAAAAGTGCTGGTATAGGTAAACTAATACCAGTGCTTTAAAAAAAGAGCATCGGTAAGTGTGAAATTTAATGCGGGAAAAATTGGCGCTTTAACATTATTTCACTTTTTTATTTTTTTTATTTTCCATTTATTTCTAATCTTATCTCATCCGAGCCCTAGGTTTCTCTTCAACCTCCCATTCGCCTCCATCTCTATTCTCGGTCTTAACTCTGAACTTGCCCCCTTTCCTTCTCTTTGCAACTCCCTAATCGCCTCCATCTCTATTCTTGTTCTCAACTCTGAACTTGCCCCCCCCCCTTCTCTCTCTGCAACTACTAACTAGAAATTCTATAAGAATCAGAAGTTCAAAACCCATATATTTCAGTTTATCTATCTGTCTGCAAGAATCAAAAGTTCAAAACCTATTCCATAATCAAAACCCATATCTGATATGCCAGATTGTTAAAAAAATCAAAACCCATATCTTTTAGTTTCCATCACCCGCTGTTCTAGTTCGGGTTCGCCGTTCGCAAGCTTCAGCTGCTATCTCTCAACTCTCAAGCTTGCCCCCCTCTCTCTCTGCAACTGTTAACTTGTATGTATGGGTTTTGTTTTTTGTTTTTTGTTTTTTTTTTTCTAAATCAATTAATCACTGGCTTGTTGTGATAGAAAAACATGAGGAAGACGACACTACCAGGGACCAGATCATCGATAGTTACATCAAAACCCTAGCTATGGTTGTTGGAAGGTTTGGATTAACATTTTATTTTTTTTATGTAATTTTCTTATAATTTTATTAAGGCCGCTCCCCCCTTTGATTGATGAGAGATGTAAAGGAAGTTACAGAAAATTGCCCAAGTCAGATTGTGATATATGTGTGTTCTGTTTGTAGAGTGAGTGCTCCGCGGTATCGGATGTTGCCAATGCAGACAAATTTGAATATGCCTCCACTTCCTTCCAATATGACGAAAAAGGTTCTTCCAGTTGCAGCAACACAATCAAAGACCAGTGGGGGTGAGAATTTTGAGTTCCTCAAACTATTTATGTGCTTCAAATTTTGTATTCTGAATTTGTAAAGGAAGTAAAACTTTGGATCATATATACGTGTATGTACATATATTGTTTTGATATGCACAGGAAATTTGGGAAAAAATTGTTTTGATTTTGAATCTGTAAAACTTTGGATTTCTGCAAAACCCTCAAAAAGTTGAGTCAATAATTGTGTATATAATATTATCCTTTTTAACATTTTGTGTTAATTTATCATGTTTATTCCTTCAATGTATTAAGGGTTTTTATTCAGAACCATGCTCTACTATGGTGTTATAATTTCTAAATCAGAAGTTATCAAGTTCTTTTAACAGAATTTTCTTATTTTTTGTGCTTGGGAGTGGTTCTTATATTACCTACAAAATGAGTAGTTCATTTAATTTTCAGGAAGAAATTAAAGTCACTTTATTTTTCTCTTTGTCAGCAGAAAACTATAGCCTTCTCAAATTGAACCAAATTTGACATTCTGTTGAAGAAAGCCACGCTTCTGTAAATTAGTAGTTTTATGAAGAATTAATGGCCAACTGAGAGTTGATTGTGCATGTGGAAAATTAAAATGTTATGTTTCTTATTAATTGTGATAAAATGTTTTGTTTCTTGTGCTGATATGCTTGAGACATTTATAATGAAATTTTGATTCTTCCGTTGCCAGTTGCTGTTATATGTAAAAGCATTTTCTTATCAAGTTTCAGATTTTTTGGTTGTAATTTTATTTTTTTCCCCTTCATGTTACAGTTTCTTCGGAGGTGAAGGTTTCAAATTGAGGTCATTGGTTACTTACGAGGGTTTGAACACCAGATCAAGTCCATTAGTGATCAAAGGGATCTACATTTTTCTTATAGTGTTTAGAGGTTTCAAGTGTCTCATGGCTTATGGGGTACACTAGTACCGTATTCTGCTATCATTTGTTTGAAAGAAGGATAGACCATTAAATTGAATGCGACTAATTGTAGACCTTTGATTGATTTGCTACACCTTTTTTGCTCTTTTTTTTTTTTTTTTTTTTTTTTCTCTCTCTAATTGCACGTTTTCTTGCAACAACACTATGTTATTCCTAATTTTGTGCACAGGTGAATGATGGGAGGAGCATCGATCCATCTGAGTTGCAAGAGAAGTTGACCGACTTAGTCATCCGGACTTCAAGTTAGATCCCCTTTTAATTTTTGTTTCTCTGATGTTTTTGTTTTCAAACTATAATGGGGCTTTGAGTTGGATTTTGAAGTGTGAACTTGTGGTGCTTGTGGGGGCTACTTTATACTCTTGGGAAGTTTGTTGTCTATATTTTTGTAAGTCTTCCTTCCTTGCATTCCAGATAGTAATTAAGATAGTGTAGTGACTGTTCTTGTACACAAGAAAAATATTTCATGTTAGGATTGTTGATTGAGACAACATGCATTAATTCTATCTTTCATGTGTTTTTCTATTTCTCCAGTGTTATGACTCTTAGTTAAAACACATATTCCATTAAATTTTTGATTTGGCTCTATTTTATTATCCTTATTCCTTAATGCTGTACAGATAGGAGCTATTGATATTTAATTTGCTCACCTTCTGTTCATGTAATATAAATCATATTGAACTTTTTTTTTGGCAGTTAACTGAGTAAACTATTTCAACAGCTACAAATTTTATTTCATTTTCCACAAATGACATCATCAATAATTTGCCTCTTCCATTTCTGTTTTGATTCCCAGCTAGCTTAATTTCATTACCTTTTTTCCCTCTCCAAGCCAAAATATATGAACTTAATAGATTATTAATACAAAATTTTGCGTGACAGTCTTGGTTTTACATGTTATCTGTTTAAGTTTTTATCAATGGAAGAAATCACTTTTCTGAAAAGTGTCTTCATCAACATCTCCTGGCCTACCATTCCTTGTTCATGCACAACATGTAAGTGAATGAAAGCACTATTTGTCTTTATGTTCATATTTCCATCAAGTTATTTTCTATTAACAACTTAATACTACTTATTCTATCTTGATACATATTGTCCCTTCAAAGAATTTAGGAAAAAACTATAAAGAAAAAAAAAACGTTGCCTTAAAGTTACTGGTCATAAATGTGCATAGTAATGGTGGATTAGTTTCGCATAGAATCTGATAAGCTTGTAGGTGGCAGATGAATCCGTCCCACACCCGGCTCTGAACTTGGAGAGCTCTCACTGCATCACCATGATGGAAGCCGTTAACAACGGCAAGGATTTTCACATCTCCGTCACCATGCCTTCTATTGAGGTACTTAATTTGCTCAACTAAATTGATCTGTTCTTGGAAACATTGATTTGTTCTTGGATATAAAATAGAGGGCAATGGATATAATATACATATGGTGTTTGTCAGTAATAGATTTGGATTCTTCCTTTGTTCATTTAAGAGGGAAATAACAACTTACAAGGAATATGGGCCATCCAACATGTCCAGTTAATTTAAATGGTGTAAAGAATCTATGCCTCCTGGTCTTCTGTGAATAAATCAAATGGTAGCAAAAATATTTATTGTAGAGCTTTGTCTTCTCCAATTAATTTTAACTATAAAAAGAATCTTTGTTTCTTGTGACCATGCAATAGAAATAATAATAATAATAATAACTATTGCAGAGCTTTGTCTTCTTAGGGCCCATTTCCCTTTTTTTTTTTTTTTTTTTTTCCTCTTAATAATATGGTGTTCAAATTTACAAAGATGGAGAATTTTGTGATGTTTGTCAATGAATTTGTTAGAAGCTTATGCACTAAGATAGAATCATGACTTATGAGTTGATATCAGTAAATTATGGCTTTTTACAACCTGCTAACCTACCATTTTGCATTTGTAGGTGAGGATAGTCTCAAGGGAGCAAGTAAAAGCACTAAGGAAAGCTGTTGATGATGTAAGTTGCAATGGTTCACTTTGAATAGTTTCTCCATGCAAACTACGTTTTCAGAGGCAACTTAAAGAAGTGTTTTAGAGAGTTTGAAGTTGAAGCTAGAAAAAAGAAAGTTTGAAGATGGGGTCGTGGTTGTGCTTTTTGAATTTCCTTAGTCGATGTGAAAACTTCTAATACATTTTGATGGGTTCTTTTGAGGAAACTTGTGGTTATGTTCACTACTTTTGTGAAAAATTATTTTCATTGTGTATACTTCTTTTGTAAAAACTTGGTGTTCAGTACAGTATTATCTATTAGTAGACATGCAATTTGGATGGTATTTTCATATTTGCAAATTAACTTGTAGTTGCCTAAATCCATTAGTATACATCTGGATGATAATTGTTTTTAATTATAAACATGTTTTATAAATAGGTTTCTTTAGGGGAAAAAAAAAAACCAAAACAAAACAAAAAAATAAAAAAATAAAAAAAAATATGAAAAAGAAAATAAACTGGTAATCACCATCACTCTTTTAAAGAGCGTTGGAATAGACCAAAACCAAAAAAAAATTTAATAAATAAATAAAAATAAATTGGTAAATACCCTTTGCCATCTCTTTTTGAAAAAGCGCTGGTAAATACCTTATGCCAGCGCTTTTTAAGGCTTTTACCAGTGTTTTTGAGCGCAGGTAAAAGCCAAAACTGTTGTAGTGGTAGTTGTCATATGGGGGTTTAGGGTCCATGGAATTGAATTTGAGTAAAAAACATAAATAAAAGATTGAGAAAATGACTTAATGGTTGTAGTTGTAGGTTAAAGACTAGAGAAAATAGGTTGGATATGAGGTGAATAATAGTACGGGTTAATGTATTTATAGAGGAAAACTGTAAGTTTTTTTTAATATATATATATATATATATATAATTATTTTTAAAAAAATAAATTCAAAAAAATGGTTTTTGTGCCAATATAACCGTTAAGGCACTGTTTGGGCCAACCAAACAGTGCCTAAAACAGCTATATGTCTAAAGGAATATTTTTAAAAGTAATTTTTTTTTAAAAAAGCTCTTTTCTCTATTTTTTTAAAACTTTTTTTTTGCCAAAAAAAGCCTTTAAGGCAATGTTTGTGTTAGCCAAATAGTGCCTTAATAGCTCTTTGGTTCAATTATTTTGAGGAAAAAATAGAAAGAGAGACCAAAACAAGTCCCCCCCCCCCCCCCCCCCCCCTTCCCCTTTTTTTTTAAGCAAATAGAGCTGTAGGAACAGTGTTTTGGGCTAAAACACTGTTCTGGCCCAGAATAAAAAATTTAAAACAAAACTTTTTTAAAACCATGCAGGCCCGTGCCTCACCAAGAGAAAAACGCGACTCAACTTGTGGGACCCAAATTTTGGCCCCGCCATTGGAGCCATCCAATAGCGAAACTACCCAAAATCACCTTTTCTGGGTCGCGTTGGAGCTGTTCCAAGTCTTTCAATGTTGTAGCATAAATTTTTCTACTTTTCTTTTCTTTTCTTTCTTCTAAAATTAACTTTTTGTTAAAAAAAAAAAAAGAAAAAAAGAAAAAAAGAAAAAACAAAATTTCAAAATTTTGTTTTGTTGATAGTTTCTTTAAAATGGTTACTACAAACCAAGTTAGAAATGATACGAATACAAAATACTGTGTAAATTAATTTTTATTTTTTCAAAATTTTTGAACAAACTTTTTGGCAAAACTGAACTAAACATGTCTTTGATTTTTTTCACTACATGTTCTCTGTTTTATTTTTTAACCTTTATCGTCTCTTTATATTCTTTCTTCCCTTCATTCAAAGCAAAGAATGGAGTATTTAATAATAAGATACTTTAATACAATTACTTGTAAACTTTCACTAATTTTTATACATGATTTATGTTATTCCGTCCGTCCCGTTCCAAAAGAGACATCCACTTTGAGAATTGTTAGTTACACTACTTTAGAAATTGTGAGTCACAGTATGGTACCAAATGGAAAAATGAATAGTACTTTCTCTTAAGCCACATAGGCTCTGAGTTCAATTTATCAAAAATTGAGTTTAATGCTGTGAGTGTTTGAAATGTTAGGTTCCTATTGTAGAGTTATATTTTGTTAATAAATTCTTTGTCAGACAAGACTCGAGCTATAATCCAAAACCTAATATGAAGCAACTCATAGAATTTAATTTTATGTTTTCCCTTGTATTATCTTGACGTTTTAAGTGCTACTTGATAAAAAAATTCATGTAATTATTTTTATGATTATTATTTTGTAATAAAATTTATAAATTCCATGCTTCTGTGGACATACCTCAATTAGAATTACCTCTATTTTGAGAAAAGGATAGAAATCTTTTAACCCACTATTAAATCTCTATATTCATTAATAAAATAAAAAAAAAATTAGAATGAGTATAAACTTATACTAATAATATATAAGAAAATAAAACAATTTGAGACCTATCTATTGGAAGCAATTTGGGAATCTTGTGATTGCTGGACGTTCTTCTTTTAACAAATTAAGTACGAATTATTGAGGTATGTTTGAATATATATACATATATATATGTGTGTGTGTGTAACAGACAGGTTGCTTCCAGCATGAAGCATAATTCTTGGTAGAGTAAACAGTACTTGTGATTGTTTTTCTTTTTCGAAACTTCAAGCAATCGCGTCATTTATGATATTATCCTTAAGTAAGGGCTCAAATGCTCAACCCCCACTTAAAAAATGAAAGATATGATCGGAAACTATACGAGTAAACTAGATTAGTTATAATGCATGTTTAAACAATAGTCATGATAGTAACATCCTTCTTGAAATTCCACAAAGATAAACAGGGCTCAAAAGTCAGACCTAATTAGTGAAGAAAAAAGGGTAACTTCTGTTTAGGTACATAAAAAACAACAACAATAATCTATCAATTGATCATCACCAAACACCTTTTGATGAACCAGGTTTGCTGTTAGTGGATTGAGGAAACAGAGTTGCAACATAACAATTCTAATTAACAATCAATTATGCAGAATCATTTTGTGTGTGTGTGTGTGTGTGTGTGTCAGTGTGTGTTATAGTCTTATAGACTAGTAACTGTAAAGAAGAAAAGGCATAACTCAGATTTTTGAGCAACACTAGTGTCTTATCCTTGTTTGTTTGAAGTCTCTACACTGAGAGGGATCTTCTTCATTGATCTGTCCAGACACAATGGGTTATTGCAATGCTCACTCTCATTACTGTTGGAGAAGCAAAGTACGGTATTCGTAAGCTTAAGACATGTAGCCTAAGTGACCTGAAGGGCTTGATTGATTTCATGAATGGAATACACTCCGACACTTCAGGGCTGCTGAATAAGTGGAAGCAAAGCGGTGGCGGGAATTGCTGGGCATGGGAAGGCATTACATGCGATGACACAACCAGTAGAGTGACAGAGATCAATCTCCCAGGCTTATTTTCCATAGATGCTCGTCCTATCCAGAAGACTACTATGGAAGTCGAGTTATCTCCTTCACTGGCACTTCTCACGTCTCTCCAAGATCCCTGCAAGATTTGGAAGCCTCAAAAATCTTACACAACTACATCTGCATTCAAACCAATTTTCTGGTGCAATACCAGCAGAGATTGGTACCTTGACAGAATTGGTAAGTTTGGATCTTCATTGAAATTCTCTGAGTGGTCCAATACCAGCAGAGAGATATGTAACTTGAAGGCTCTGGAAATGATTGATCTTTCCCTCAACAATCTTGAGCTAGAGATCACATTTCCATCAAGCTTAATCTGGCCAAATGCCGCCCTACAGCTAATTTTTTGGTAACTGTTTCTCCGGCTTTCGGACACCTTACCTCCCTCTCGTTTCTCTCTCCGGAAACCTCCTAGTCCTTGTAAGTCTTGAACACTGATTCTTTTGATCACATTATATTTATATATTATACACTTGTATGCACGTATGAATCTGTATCGAAAGCAGTTTTTCATTTTGAGAATAGCATCATAATGCATCACAATCAACCCAATCTAGAACTATTTCCCTATCTAGAACTGTTTCGCTTGTAATTCTAGGTTATGCCTAACCGATTTGGTCCTCGGAATTTTTCAGACGTTAGGAAATAAGTACCAAATTACACTTCAAACACCACACCAAGAATCTGTCTGTGCTAGGAGAAGCCTTGCAGGAACCAGGATGTTCGAAAATATTTATTCGAGTGGAATGCAAACCAAAGAATGGACTGCCTGCAAAAATCAGTTAAATATGTGCGAGCGCGCACACACGACACACAAGTACATATGCACACACTTCGCACAAATGAAAGTCAAAGAACTAGAAAAAAAGAGTGCCACGAAGTTTTCAATAGAAAAAATATACTTTTATTTAACATATTAATTTTGAGCCTTAGTGTATGTGCACAATTTAAATGGACTGTTGCTTGTTGTTGACCCTAAAATCGACCGGCTGGAACCGATCTTAAATTGAATATGTCACGGGCATGCCAGAACCAATTATATGGTTCAATTGTGTATGATCAACTTGTAATCTCTTTGAGAAATTTGACTCAGGCGATTATAGGAGAAAGAGAACAGGAAAACTCCTTCATGATTCTAACTGTCTTAGTTAAAAAGATTTTTCAGTGAATAATTATAGTAGAGTTTGAAGAGAATAGAAAGAGGGAGAAATAGATATAAAAAGAAAGATACAGGAAGAGACAGAAAAAGATAGAGCGAGATATAGAGAATAGAAGAGGTAGAATTAGAAGGAAAAAAGATAGAAAGAAATATAGAGAGAGAGATAGAGTGAAAGAGAAGTAGCAAGGATGCTATTTCGGAAAAGAGCTTGAGAAAGCAAATAAAATAATAAATTGATTCTGAGGGTGCTGGACCCTATCTCAGCATGCCTCCACAATTTTACTTACATTACAACTCTATCAAAACTAACAATATATTTAAATTAAACTAACTTAAGGATAAAGTAATACCCCTAATTTTAAAAGGATAGTCTCGGTATTTTAATTATTAAATTTTTTTTTCATTTTTGAGTGATTGGTTGCTTATTTGTTTATCATTGAATTGTTTAAATGTTGGATTTTAATTAACTGTATTGAATTGTTTAAATGTTGTATTTTAATTAACTGTATAGAATTGTTTAAATGTTGTATTTTAATTAATTATTTGCTCATTATTGAACTGCTTAAATATTTAAATTGTCTCAATGGTGTATTTTAGTTAAATGAGTAATTGGATTAAATGAGTATTATTAATTACTTAGGGTTTTCTTTTAGGAGTTACGTAGTTGTAGCCGATATAGATTATAACTTAGGTTTTGTTCTATAGGCCGACTAGGATTTAATTAGGGTTCT